GATGATCGATAGGAGAGAGGAGGGAGAGGCTGGGGAGAGACGTCAAGGAGAGATGCTGACAGCATCTCTGCTTGCTTCTTCATCTATTCTCTAATTCTACAACAAATACTTGTCACATGTCAGGCTCTGGTGGTCTGTGAGTTTCAAGAATGAATACAACAGTGTTCCTGGCCTCAAGGAACTCCAAATCCTACAAAGCCATAATGGACCAATTGGAATACAGTGTGACATGTTTCACACACACTCACTCACTCACACACAGTGCCAGCTCTGCCTGACAGCACTGGAGAGGGCTTCATGGTTGGGAAGACACACCTACTGGATCATAAGGACAAGTAGGAGTGATAAGAATGTTCCAGGAACCACACATGTGAATCTACAATTATCTCAAAAAAAAGTTTTTAAGTTTAATTTTAAAAAAAAAAAAAAAAAAAAAAGGAATATTTGAGGAAGAAGGAATAGCAAGTACAGGCAGAGACATAGAAACATCGTGTTTTGGTTGCAAGCGGGGACAAAAGTCAGCCAGCGAGCTGCGAAGTCCCTTGCTGAGTCTTCCGGAGTCCCTGCTCTCTAGGAGTCCTTCATTAACTGGCCCACTGGCTCCGGGTTCAGCAGGTCTGGGGCCTCAGCTGAACACCCTAGCTCCGTCCACATAGGAGCAGGACTTGTAGGCTCAAGTTCAGACCCACGGACTGGGATTAAGAGCAGGAAATAGAATCAAATTTATGTGGAAGCGCCAGATGAACATGTTAGTTCAGGTCCCCCACTTCCTTGGTCACCCCAGCCAGAAGCAACCTCTTTCTCCTCTGGTCTCCCACAAGCTACTCTGAAAGATGAATCAATAGCATAATAGTTAACAGTGTGGGGCTTCCCTGCTGGCTCAGACAGTAAAGAATCTGCCTGCAATGTGGGCAACCAGGGTTCAATCCCTGGGTCGGGAAGATCCCCTGGAGGAGGGCATGGCAACCTACTCCAGCTTTCTTACCTGGAGAATCCCATGGACAGAGGAGCCTGGCAGGCTACAGTCCATGGGGTCACAGAGTTGGACGAGACTAAGTGACTAACACTTTGTCATTTTGTCTAACAGCCTAGACTTTGGAGCCAGATTTTCTGACTTTGAATCCCAGCTCTGTGCTTGCCAGCTGTGTGATCTTGAACGAGTTACTTTTCTGCTGTGTGCTTCAGTTTCCTTATCTGTGAAATGGGGATAAAGTTGATCCCTATGAATTAATACATGCAAAGCCCTTAGAACACTGTCTGGCACATTGTAAATGCCTTTTAAGTGTTACTGATTATTGTTAAGGGTAACACTACCATCTATTGAGCACTTACTACTGTGAGCACAGTGTGAGGACTTTTACACACCTCATCATGGGGCGGCTGTGAGACACCCTGGTGTCTGAGCAAGACCAAGTCACAAATGAGGTGTCTTCAGGGAGGAAACCACTGCTTCCCCTCCTGTTCCAACTGTCCCTCCCTGTCACCTAACTCATATATAAGCTGTGTTTGATCCTGGATCAGCATAAACCTTCTGAAGAACACAAATCATCTCCAAGATGCCAGTGGCTCTCATATCAATGGACTGTTGATGGCGGCTCCCTCATTGTCTCCCATGGAGACAGCCATGCCTGTGACCCCAGATACCCAGCAGGATCTGAGATCCTGAACTCTTGTCTGCACCCAACACCCAAATTTCTCCATGATCTTGAGAAGCTTTATAATCCCAGCTCTTGCTACCTAGCTCACCTCCATATTCAGAAGCTCTCTCTACTTCCTATCAGACCTGATCTATGTAGCAAACTCGGCAAATGGAGAAAGAATTTTCCTTCCTCCTTCAGGCCCTGTAAAATAAGGACAGAAAATGCAGCCCTATGACAAAAGTCAATGGCATATAACCACATTCCCAAAAAAGCCCTTCTTCAGGCCGTGTCCCCATCCTTCCCTGTGACTCACTACACAATTGCCCCCACCCAGGGGAATAACCACACTGCTGGCCTCTTAGCCTCTGAGAGGTTCAGTAGCTGCAGAAAGATCAAACTGCTGCTCAGTTTGACCCCATCCACAACTGGCTGGCTTCAGGCTTCAATAATTCAAGGTTAATAATAACTTGCCTGCAGCTCCAAAGGGTCTGACATGTGGTGGCTTGAGCCCAGACCTCAAAGTTCCAGGTTCATCTGGTTTCTGGAATCAGCTTAAGCAAGACAGATGGCTGCATGGCACTGCTGGGACCAGGAGGGCCTAGTTACCCCCCATCATAGGGGATTGGGGGGGTGCCTTTATGCTGGCAGAACTATGTTTGTTCTCTAAGAGCTGGGCCATGACTGCTCAAGAATAATGTATCATTTCTCTTCACCCAAATTAAGCAGGCACATTCAAGGTGGTGCTAGTGGTAAAGAACCCACCTGCCAATGCAGGAGACATAAAAGACATGGGTTCGATTCCTGGGTTGGGAAGATCCTCTGGAGAAGGAAATGGCAACCCACTCCACTATTCTTGCCTGGAGAATCCCATGGACAGATGAACCTGGGGGGCTACAGCCCATAGGGTCGCACAGAGTCGGACATGACTGAAGTGACTTAGCACATACACATACTGTTTAATATCTACCCTGTGCATGCATGCATGCTAGGTGGCTTTTTAGCCATGTCCCACTCTTAGTGACCCTATGGACTGTAGCCCGCCAGGCTCCTCTGTCCATAAGATTCTCCAGACAAGAATACTGGAGTGGGCTGCCATGCCCTCCTCCAGGGGATCTTCCCCATCCAGGGATCAAATTCACTTCTTTCTCTCCTGCATTGGCAGACAGGTTCTTTACCACCAGCGCCACCTGGGAAGGCCCTGGGCCACCTGAAAAGCAAACAGCATCCTGTTACAGCCTTTTCCTGAAGCACACTCCAAACCCATTGGTGCTGTCCTGGCCAACCCGGTGTCAAATCCAGCGTTGAAGCCATCATGAATTCACGAGATGTTACAAACCACCTCAAACAGCTCTGCTTGTGTCCCTCTGTCCCTTGTGGGGATTAATTCACTTAGGCTACAGCAGTGACCAGATTTGAAAGATCCCCGGGACTTCATATTAGATTCAAACTTGAGAACCTAGTTTGAAGTTGATTCAAACTATGAACCTAGCGATGAGAGCTATAGAACCTCCACTGGTCTACCGACTACCTGAACGTTGTAAGTATTAACTCTTTTACTTCTCATTAAAGTGTAGGAGACATTGTGAGGATACTGCAGCAGCACTCAGAAGTTAGAAGTGGCAACAGACTGGCACTCAGGCGCTCACAGGGCTCCAGGCTCTGTGTTCCTGACCATGACATAATGTCTCCTGGATAGCGAGGAGGCCCGGTGGTGTGAGAGCTGACTGTGGGCACGGCCTGGAGGCTGATTATGGAGGGGAGAAAATCACTGTGGAAAAACGATTTTCAGATCCCGCCGTCTGGGCACTTGGAAAGGATTTCTGAGGTAAGCCTGCCATCTAGTGGTAATATAGCAGGTAGCAATTACCCTCAAGTAAATTTATCAGCAGCCAAGTTGCTTTTCAGTTCAGCTGCAGGTTCTAAAAGATAGGGAAATCCCACTGCCGTGGTCCTTGAAACAGCCTAGAATTTTCACCTGCTATTGAATGGTGGCTACAGGCTAGATGCAAATCCCAACTCCTCTCATTACTGATTTAAACCTTGGGCCAGTTAAACCTTGGGCCAGTTAACTTCATTTTCTCTTCTGAAAAATGGGAAAATAATATTGACCCATACGGTTGCTGTGAAGATCAAGTGAAGGAATGTGTGTGACGTGTCAGGCCTATTGTCAGCACTTCATAGCTGGTGGTTGGTGCAGAATGAATGGCTGGCTCAGGGGCACAGCAGGAAAGGCCTGGCAAATTGGACATTAATTAGTGACATTAGTGAGCCCCACAGGACTGCTCTTGGGGGATTCTTTTTTTTTTTTTAACATGCACTATTGTGAAATACTTTGGCTACCTGATTCGAAGAGTCAACTCATTGGAAAAGACCCTGATGCTGGGAAATATTGAGGGTAGGAAGAGAAGCAGGCGACAGAGGATGAGACGGTTGGATGGCATCATCGACTCAATGGACATGAGTTTGAGGAAGCTCTGGGAGATGGTGAAGGACAGGGAAGCCTGGTGTGCAGCAGTCCATGGGGTTGCAAAGAGTCTGAGAGGCTGAACAGCAATGCTTGAGTTGGCTTCCTCAGACTTCCGCCTGATCACTGAGTCACCTCTCCACTCTGAAGGGTCAGTGGCTCCCCCTGCTTCCCTGGAGGGCTCGACCCAGCACAGGCCTCAGTCCATCCTGGCGGGGTCCCCACTGCTGCCTGTACACGGGTTCCCAGGTGTGACTGCTCCTTACCCATCCCCTCACACTTCTCCAGACAAGCCTTTCCTTTACAGCATGGGGGGGTTTGTAATTCTCCACTGAAATCACCGATCCTCTTCCTCTAACCACCTTAGAAGCACTGGGAAAATGAATTGTTGTTCAGTCACTAAGTCGTGTCCAACTCTTTGCAGCCCCATGGACTGCAGCACGCCAAGCTCCCCTGTCCTTCACCAGCCCCAGGAGTTTGCTCAAACTCACGTCCATGGCATCCATGATGCCGTCCAACCATCTCATCCTCTGTCGCCCCTTCTCCTGCCCTCAATCTTTCCCAGCCAACTATCTTCCAATGAGTTAGCTCTTCACATCAGGTGGCCTAAGTATTGGAGCTTCAGCTTCAGCCCCAGTCCTTCCAATGAATATTCAGGGTTGATTTCCTCTAGGATTGACTGGTTTGATCTCCTTGCTGCCCAAGGGGAGAAATATATAGCTTGAGCGAATTAGCAACTATTTTATTTTGAGGTTGAATTTGGTAATGAGTGTCACTTTAATGTGAGGTAACTTGGCAAAGTTCATTTCATGGTTAACATGCTTTGGCCCACTTGCTCCCTGGCTTCCAAGCAGGATGTTGTTCCTGTTAAAGATTAACTTGTAACTTTGAACCTCTTCTGTCTTCAGGGGACTGTGGATGGAGACCCGCTATTCCCACCACAGCCAGCTGTGAGCCAAGGTCGGGGTGGCTGCCGCCGGACACCACTATCCCCAGGTACTGGAAGAGGCTAATACCAGGTGTGTTGTTGGTTGTCTCCCATGTACTTGGAACTGGGGTGGGAGAGCGGGTGGCAGGTGGGATAAGAAGAGGGGCTAGAGACTTTAGGAGGCACCAGAGGTGCTCAAATGTGAGTCTTCAAAGGAAGAGTCTTGGCAGAAAGATGCCATGTGGAGGCAGGGAGTAAGACCCTGAGGGGCCTGGCAAAGGGAGGCTTTGCTGCAAAGTCACTCCAGTCAGTTCCCATGAGTTATCTTTTATATATAAGAAAGTAAAAAATGTGATTCAGTCATGTCCAACTCTTTGCGACCCCATGGACTTTATAGCTCACCAGGCTCCTCTATCCATGGAATTCTCCAGACAAGAATACTGGAGAAGGTAGCCATTCACTTCTGCAGGGGATCTTCCCAACCCTGGGATCAAACCCATGTCTCCTGCATTGCAGGCAGATTCTTTACCATCTGAGCCACCAGGGAAGTCCCATTTTATACGTAGTAGTGTATATAAACTAGGTAACTCATGAGAACCTACTGTATAACAAGGGAATTCTACCCAATGCTGTGTGGTAACCTAAGTGGGAGGAAAATAAAAAAAGAGGGGATATACGTACATGAATAGCTGATTCACCATGTGGTACAACAGAAACTGACACAACATTGAAATACAATTATACTAAAAAAAAAAATCTATAGATAGAGAGGCTCTGTCCAGGGAAGTTAAGTTTTAGAACCACCTGAAGGAGTAATTATTTTTTTTGGCCATACCAAGCAACTTGCAGGATCTCAGTTCTCAGGCCTGGGATTGAACCCTGGCCCTAGCAATGAAGCCTGAAATCCTAACTGCTAGGCCACCAAGAAACAGCCCCAAGGGAGTACTTATGGACGTCTTTAAGGGGGAAGATAGCTTAATAGATGTCCACTTAGAAGGGTTCTGGGAAATATAAAAGTCACAGTTCCTGCCCTCGGGGATCTACTTTGTCACTTGACCACTGCTTCGTGGCCACAGACAGAGGATAACAGTGATGCAGGGACTGCTTCTAAAAAGCAAAAAAGTTAATGTTTGTCAGACAATCAGGCTGGTGTAGTTTCTTTGGGGAATAAGTTTGCTTGGAATTGGGTAGCAATTCCCTCCAGTGTATAGCCTCCTGAAATTATGATTGGGTCAAGCTGAACCTCGCTTCCCCGGTGACTCAGCAGTAAAAAATCTGCCTGCAATGCAGGGGACGAAGGTTCGATCCCTGGATCAAGAAGATCCCCTGGAGGAGAGCATGGCAACCCACTCCAGTATTCTTGCTTAGAGAATCCCATGGACAGAAGAGCCTAGTGGGCTATAATTCATAAGTTTCCAAAGACTGAGCATGCATGCACACAAGCTGAATCTATAGATCAGTCTGGGAAGAACTGCCCCCAACAGTGATCAAGTCAGGGTGGTATTTATAGAAAGACACCCAGATCAGTGAATTGTAATAGAGTCTGGAAACAGGATCAAGGGAGAAATTGCTTTTTGTGATATCCTACCTCCTAACAGGAAGCAAAACTCCAAAGTCTTTACTATTGAAGTAATAGTAATAATTTACTATGATAATTTACTATTATCATTACTATTATTTAAATAACTTAGTATTATCATTAGGCTCTTCTGCATTTGACAAGATCCTTTGATTCTCACAAGAGCTCTGTGGGATAGACAGCCATAACCTAACTTTATAGATAGATGAGAATTGGAGCTCCTCTAGACTAGATGGAGTGGAACATCACTTATGGGCTACCCATTTGAGAAGCAATGGGAATATTCCCACATTCCTGGGCAACCCTTCCTAGAAAAGGATTTCTGTTACAGGCAACATCATATCGACTAAAGGAGAATCAGCTGTTGAAATCCATCTTCTCTCTCGACTGTAAACTTCTTGAGAATAGAGACTAACATCACGTAGCTCTTTTTTTAACCTGTGGTGTTTGGCATGATGCCTTGATATAATAAGTTGGGTTGGATATGCTGTGGTAAGGAGTAAACCCTGAATTCTTCATGGTTTACCATTCAAACATCTATTTCTAACTCACAAAAAATTAGCGGATCTCCAGGGCTCCTTCTTTTCAGGTAATGATTCAGGGATCCAAGCTGCCTTTATCCTACAGCGATGCCTGCTGATGGACATGGCCCCTGGAATGTTGTAACAGGAGACAGAAAAAGATAGAGAGTCACATAGAAGCTCTTAAATTCTTGGCCCCAAATGAACACATGTCACTTGCACTCCCAAGAACTAGTCATATAAAGCCTGCCTACCTATAAGCAGCTGGAAACCATTGAGAAGCACATGCAGAACAGTGGCTGCCTCTGCTCGTCCTGGCTGAGAGTGTGCACTAGATAAGCCCTGTGGGATTAACCAACGAGTAAATCCAACACAGTTTGAATTATACCATCACATAGACCTAGAGTCTGTCATACAGAGCAAAGTAAGTCAGAAAGAGGAAAACAAGTATTGTATGTTAATGCATATATATGGAATCTAGAAAAATGGTACAGATGAACCTATTTCCAAGGCAGGAATAGAAAGGCAGACCTAGAGAATGGACATGTGGACCCAGGAGGGGAAGGGGAGGGTGGGACAAATCGGGAAATTAGGACTGACAAATATAAACTACCATCTGTAAAATAGTTAGCTGGTGGGAACCTGCTGCATAGCACGGGCAGCTCAGCTCGGTGCTGTGATGACCTAGCAGGGTGGGATGGTGAGGGGGTCGGGGGAGAGGTCCACGGGGGAGGGGGTGTATGTGTGCATACAGCTGATTCACTTTATTGCACAGCAGAAACTAACACAACACTGTAGGGCAATTATATTCCAATAAAAAAGGAAAGAAATCACAGAATTACTCAAAGGTGAAAGCCACTTTCAACCTCCAGAGCCTCAGAGGAGAATGTCCAACAAGAGAAAGAAGGCCAATGGTTCTACCATTTAAGGATAGTCTAGTCTATACAAGAGCTTCCCTGGAGGCTCAGACAGTAAAAAAATCTGCCTGCAATGCAGATGCCCGGGTTCAATCCCTGGGTCAGGAAGATCCCCTGGAGAAGAACATGGCAACCCACTCCAGTATTCTTGCCTGGAGAATTCCATGGACAGAGGAGCCTGGTCCTCTGAAGGATGGGCTACAGTCCATGAAGTCACAAAGAGTCAGACATGGCTGAGCGACTAACACTAACACTTTCACTTTCGCCTATACAAGGCACTGCTCTAGGAACATTATGTGGACTATAGTGTTTAGTCCTCATGAGGCCCTGTGGGACAGGCATTAATAATTTTCTTTTACAAATAACCTGTTCATGGAACCTGGTGAACCAGCAGCAGAACTGAGTTTGAGCCCATGTTTCCCAAGGCATAACACTTATGAGATCCTGTCCTCCTGACTCCATGGACTCCCTCAGCTACTAATGTCTCATGGAGCATCGTGAGCAGCTTCTCTGTCTTCTCACTCCTCTCCTGCTGCCTCTCAGGAGCTGCCACTCCTGCGTAGAGCTATGCCTATGAGACTTCAAGTCAGGAGTGAAAACAGCAGAGTTCAGAGCTTGTTCTGAGCCTTTGTGTAGTTTCTGACATCTGTTCAGTGCACTTCACCCTTTCTGAGCAAATGAAGATGCAGGGCAGTGATCTTCACACAGGACACCTTTCCCAGTGGCCTAGCTTTAGGGGGAAATGATCAAGCTCACTTTGTGCAGCTCTTCTATTTTCTGCCATGCCACAAGGCATGCGGGATCTTAATTCCCTGACCAGGGATTGAACCCACAGCCCGTGTGTTGGAAGCTCAGAGTCTGAAGCATTGGATCACCAGGGAAGACCCTGTGCCACTCTTCTGACCCTACAGAGCAGAGACCTGAACTGATCTTGCACGTGTGTACGCTAATTCACTTCAGTCATGTCCAACTCTTTTACCAACCCATGGACTGTAGCCCGTCAGGCTCCTCTATCCATGGGATTCTCCAGGCAAGAATACTGGAGTGGGTTTGCTGTTCCCTCCACCAGGGGATCTTCCTGATTGAATCCGTGTCTCTTATGTCTCCTGCATTGGCAGACGGGTTCTTTACCACTAGCGCCATCTGGGAAGCCTAGCAAATCACTAACACCATGTACTGGCCAACTAAAGAATATTCAGAGCAAACCAGAGGAATTCCGAGTCAGGCCCTGCCATCCTCATCGTGCGAATAGAGACAATTCCTTTGAATTTTCTGAGTTTTAATTTTTTCATCTATAAAATGGGACTCTCACCATTTTCGATGCCAGCTCTCACCCTACAAACCACACTTGGCTGCAGATATTTGCTTCTTTTCGTGATGCTTAAGAGTCAAGCCACAGGAGTCAGAGTATATGACTAGATATGTGATGCTGGGCAAAATATTTTAATCTCTCTGAACCTCCGGTTTCTCACCTGCAAAATGGGGATAATAATATTTGTGTTTGGAGATTACACATTAATGCACCTAGAATAAGCTACACAGCACATGACACATCATGAAGCAGTCCATAAATGGTTGCGAATTTGTCGTCACTATTCTTGTTATTAAGGAGCCACCACGCTGTCTCCAAGGGTCTTTGTGTAATCAAATGATTCCATTGCTCAAGAGAAGAAAATTCCCAATCTCTGCAAACACCCTGTGAACCCTTGGATCAAGGTCTCCCAGTATGTCCTAAATGATAGCCAATACCCCATAGAAAGCACACTATTCACAAAGAGGCTTGTGCTCCAAAGCTCTACTAGGAGGTCATTTGTTTGGAACTCAGCGCATATTTTCCCATAGAAAGAAAGCTATTAAGATAGTGGCTGGATTCCTAGGTTACTGAAAATACCCACTTGATTTCCAGAGTAGCAGAAAACTAACATATTTGCAATGCAAATGAGCATAGAGTCCTGTATGGCTAGTAATAGGCTAAAACTGAAAGCTAAGAAGATTGTGTACTAAATAGTTTCTTTTGTTTTTATAAATGCTGATGAAGAGGACAAGCAGGCTTAATTAGACAAAGAAAGAGCTC